GAATAGACTAAAATGAACAGGTTTGTATGCGTTAAACAAAACATGGCATACTAGCATTAGCCTGGTGGCGCAGTGGAAGATAATTTCATAGGTTCAACTCTCACTGATGCCGTGTCACAATAGAAAATAAAATGTGTTTGCATGATTGAAGCCTAAGCAAATTAATTTCCATGTGTCCTATCTGTGCTTGGAGTGCTTACCCAAAATAAGCTAGAAGTGTTATTAAAAGTCTTAAAACATTCACTGAATGTTTCAATAAGGTATTCAAAAACCTCCAAATAACCTTTACATTTTGTTGTTAGGGCCATATTCAATCCGTTTTGCGAAAATCCAACGTAATTCAAATTTAAAGGCACTGTTCCCGCTTTAGCAGAAACTGCATTCACGCTGCATACGTCGGCTCAATCGTAAATTAACATTACATGTTTATCAGGGAATCTATAACGCTTCACCATTACAGATTGAATAGAGCCCCTAGTGTTAAAAAAAAGTCCAGCAATAACCATAAAACTTTCAGAACATTTAGAGAATGTTTTCAGAATGTTATTTAACTACCTTCAAATAACCTAATAATTTCCGCTCTCAGAGCGTTAATAAAACCTCCCAGAAAAACTTTCAAGGAACCAGAGTAAAACGTCACAGATCCTCCCTGCAACATAAAAATAAATTTTCCCAGAACAGGCAACATTTTCACTTCTGTTCTCAGAATGTTTGAAATACTTTCTGTTTTACTGGTCAGGAAATGTATGGCTTAGTTCCACAACCAATGTGAAACCAAAAACATAAGTTCCAACTTCCAAGGAACCAAATGTGCTAGCTGGGATGTACTGCAACCTGGTCTCAAAGCATTTCGTATTATTCTGTACGTATATTCGATAAACTCCTTCAGTATGATATGTTACGTTTCTTATGGTAGGTATTCATTTGTGGATGTCCATCATCCACTTCTTATGATATGTTACAAATTTGCAAAACATATGATATGTTATGAATTTGCAAAAATACAATATGTTACAAATTTGCGAAATGAATGATATGTTATGAATTCCAATTTGTTGTGGCTAACGTTAGCTAGATGGCTAGGTGACTAACGATAACTTTAGCTAGCTGGCTAACTTTGGCTAGGCTAGGGGTTAGGGTTAAGGTTAGGAGTTAGGTTAAAGGGTTAGCTAAATGGGTTAAGGCTATGGTTAGGGGTAGGGTTAGCTAACATGCTAAGTAGCTAAAATGTAGTAAATAGTTGAAAAGTTGCTAATTCGCTAAAATGTTATCCGTGATGAGATTCGAACACGCAACCTTTGGGTTGCTAGATGTTCGTGTAATACGCCCAACCAACCACCCTCATTTAGTTTTTGCCTTAAAGGAAAATGTTACCCAAAAAACTATTCGTCCATTGTTGATATAAAAATGCGACATCTATTTTGAATGCTACATATCTTGAAAACGTTATTGCTGACAAGCAAAACATTTTGGGACTATATCAACAATGGACTAATGAAACAAATGCAAAAACATAGTTTTTGTTTGGTTTTCCTTTAAGTAACCTTCTGTCTTCTGTAACCATACCAAAAGTAACATACCATACTAATTTGTTAACCCGGATTTACGTTTACTATGTTACGTTTAGTCTATATGACCAGGCTGTGTGAAAAGCCACATTTTAGTGCCATTAGATATAGAGATCTGGAGCTGTCATTGTAAGCGACTGGATTTATGAAACACTATTAAAAAAAAGTGTTATAGCAACAAAGTGTCTCAAACTGGAGGGTAGGCTACATTCCTTGATTGTGTAAAATGCAAACTACTCAACTCCCGTGCCTGAATAAACATGTTTTGCTGTTCTACCTGTGATTATCGCAGTAGCTTTCAGACTGATGAAGGCAGCAATTCGACTGTTCGAAATTGAAACGCCTCCAGCTCTCAAAGTATTTCAACCTTCTAGCCCACATTATTTGTTCTCACCTTACTCTCAGAATGCCAGAAGACTTTTGTAGTCAGCACCTCGGGAATCCACTAAAGATGATACTCTTCTGAACACTAGAGGACCGACCGTCTGTCTGTCCGTTCTGCAGATGTCTCACGTTCGCATTCTTGAGTCAACAACCTCTCTATCTCTCAAAAAAGCGTTCTACTTCTTAAGAACTGCTCAGTTCCTTGGCTCCAACTACCGACGTATTGAAGAAGTGCAGTCAAGAAAACAGCTTTTGAATTGAGGATGGTTAGTGGTTCTCAAACCTCTACTTGGGGACCCCCAGGCGTTTCAAAATGTTGTTGTAGCTTTAACTAGAACACCTGATTCTCCTTGCTGATTGGTTGACAAGTTGAACAAGGTGTGGTAGCTCCGGAATAGAAAAAATACATATGGAACGGCTGGGGGTCAATGCTACCTTGGCATTGAAGTAACCAATATCAAAGGTGTCCAGTGGAACAGTCATGAAACGTGGATCTCAGATTTTAAAAAAATAGAAGTGACTGAGTCAAATCTCAGGGGTTGTTATTGTTATTTTTCATTTAGGTGACGTCATTATGCATTGAATTATGTTGTTCTATTTATTCAGAAGACATAAATACAATCCATTGAGGGTCATGGTGGTGATTACATGACTCTTGTAAAAACAATGAACAGGAAGATGATTCCACTACCCTATGCTTTTAATACTGCAATATGTAACTTTTTGGGCAACCTGACCAAATTCACATAGAAGAAGCGGTATATATTTTCTATGTGCGCTATTTCTATGCTTCCCATTCTTATGGTTTGTTTTTGCGTCTTTTACTTTAGGTTTTGTACACCAGCTTCAAACAGCTGAAAATACAATATTTTTGGTTATGGACAATATATTTCACAGCAGTTTACATAATACAATGATTATTTACACAATGATAGCTTGTTTTGTCACATAAACAGAAATTAGGTGAACTATTAGAATTTTTGCAACCAGGAAATGGCGTAGCGATTTCTGCGTATTGCAACTTTAAATACACTTTTACAGGAGTATTTTCTAATCAAATCAACATAATTATAATATATGGCCTCAATTGATATGTTAAGATAACCAATAGGATTTGCAAAGACAGGACCAGTAATCCTCCTCATGTCATTTTCACAAAAGGGTAATAACCTAATTAGAATGTTATTTACCTTATTCTTTGTTCATTTTTGTATAATTTTATTGAGCTAGGCTAGTGAAGAGGAGACAGGAAATGAAGTACGGATTGCGAGGCAGAAAGGCAGTGGGTCGGATTTGAACACATGCCGACTCTGGTAGCCTAGGTTGTGTGTGCCAGTATCCAACCACAGGCCACTTAATGTGCACGTTAAACCCTGTGAGAACCAGCGTTAGAAGATGTGAAGTGCTAAGTCATTAATGTAACAGTGAAGTATGCCATATGACAGGCCATACAGTTGAATCCAATGCTAATTGAGACCTCTGAGGTTAAAAGAGAAAAGTTGTTACACTCCATTACCGATGACAGGATTTCAGGATGTGAGATTTACAGTATGGACCAAGACCTTAGTCGAACCTTTTGGACTAACATTTTAACAATAACAAACTGTAAAATAGAAGATAAATAACACATCACATTTTAAAATCAAGAGCTAAATATACGTGATTTTTTAAAATCACCACTGAAAAGATCTCAGACGTATTATCCATGTAACTTGGTTTACTCTTTGTCCTCTGTACCGTTCGTCCATGTCAACAACAACAACAAGATTCAATCATTCATTCTGTTGAGATGGAGGGATAGTGAAGTTTACATCAAGATTAATACCAAGAGACCACAGGAGGTTGGTGGCACCTTAATTAGGGAGGACGGGCTCGTGGTAATGACTGTAGCGGAATCGGTGGAATGGTATCAAATACATCAAACACGGGGTTTCGATGTGTTTGACGCCATTCCATTCGCTCCATTCCAGCCATTATTAACGAGCCGTCCTCCCCTCAACAGCCTCCACTGCAAGAGACTTCAAGAGACTTCAGGGAAAAACAGACGAAGAAAAATGTCTAAACTTCTCCCCTCACTCTTCGGTCTTCGCTCATCCTCACAGTGTAGGCATGTTCCCAGGGCAACGACACAGCTAGCCCGGTTTATGCTCTTGCCGATGATATTGTCAAGCCAAACATGACATGACAATGAGTGACAAGGAGTTGGCGTGACAGCACAAACAGACTAGAATCAGGCTAGAAACAGCCTCCTCGAAAAATACATTTCTTTACAAACATTATTTTTCAAACCCTTTCATATACAGTATGATGGGTAGCCAACAACAACGTGGCTTTTGGAAACGGTAATGACAATAAGGTCAATGCAGACTCTATCACAGTACGTTGGTAGAAATGATGACAAACAGTCGAACCACCACGTCTCAGGGCAGATGTTTTTTTTGGGGAGGAAAAATTTCATTTATTTATTTTTCAACTGGGACCAATTCTAACAGTTGAATGCAGCATGGTTAATTGTAACGGTATCCTCTCTACCGCTTTTCAATACTCTGTATGCTTTGAGATGTACATGTAAAAGATACACATTGAGTCAAAGCTGACAGGGAGCCCTTCTCCGTTGATTTTGGCAATTCAAAACAAAACAAAGGTATTCGTTTTAGTCTAGTCTTATTACGAGAGGCAGGAGTATACATGGATAGATATATAGACAATATGAATATAACCCAACAAATTATTATTATTATTATTACTACATATAGCCTATCATACTTGACACAAAGCCAGTAAAACAACACTTCATCCCCAGATCTAAAGACCTCAGTCAGATAAAGTCCAGAAAGATCAGAGGGATCTCCATGGATGTGTCCCAAAACATCACCCTATTCCCTATGTAGTGCACTACTTTTGACCAAGGCTTAGAGGGCTCTGGTCAACAGTTGTACACTATACAGGCAATAGGGTGCCATTTGGGATGCACCCATGGAGATCTCTCTTTAGTTCTGGGGATACTCCAAATACCATTCAACAGTCATAACATAAGTTCTCCGTCTAGCCCAGCCCTCTTCCTCCAGCTCTCCTCCAGCTCTCCTCCAGCTCTCCTCCAGCTCTCCTCCAGCTCTCCTCCAGCTCTCCTCCAGCTCTCCTCCAGCTCTCCTCCAGCTCTCCTCCAGCTCTCCTCCAGCTCTCCTCTAGCCATCTGCTCCTGTCCTTGTTCAGATTTTCACCACACTATGTGCATGTTTCCTGCACAGAGGCTTGTCCATTTTGGAGAAGAAGGCTTGACCCTCCAGAGTGGTGCAGCAGACCTGGAACACATATACAGATACAGGATAAAGATACAGGATAAAGATACAGATACATGTGCGTATAATTCAGCAATAAGGCCAGAGGGGGTGTGGTATATAGCCAATATACCACTGCTAAGGGCTGTTCTTATGCATGACACAACGCAGAGTGCCTGGACCCAGCCCTTAGCCATGGTATATTGGCCATATACCACAAACCCCCCAAGGTGCATTATTGCTATTATAAACTGGTTACCAACGTAATTAGAGCAGTCAAAATAAATGTTTTGTCATACGGTCTGATATACCACGGCTGCCAGCCAATCAGCATTCAGGGCTCGAACCACCCAGTTTATAAATATATATATAATAAATATATGCAAGGCCTAACGTACCGCACACACAAAACAGGTGTCATGCCAGGTGAATCCCAGAGCCTCCAAGAACTTGTCCCCTGCCTCTATGGGGAACTCACAACCATGGCAACCGGTACCAAACAGGGAGTAATAGTCTGGAGGGGAAAAGAGAAGAGTTAAGATTTAAACTCCTGAACTCAGACTACTTGTAAAACTGAAAACGCCTGGCCCTAGTTCTGACAGACAGGCAGTCAGTCAGCCTAGGTGCATCCCAATAATGTCTCCTTTCTCCTGAAGTGTACACTTGTTCACTACTTCACAAATATCTACAAACATTGAATTGGTGGAGGCATGGGCTAGTGGGAATGTCCAGCATATTTCTTCGACCAATAATGTCCTTTCAAATCAGTGAAGGGAATTGGACAGGGAAGGGAGGTGCACACTTTGGGAGGAAGGACAGATAATTGAGACATAGCCTATGTGTGTTCACCTCTTTCACAGTAGGGCTCTCCATCCTCCAGGTGAAAGGTGTTGTTCCTAATAGGCTGTTGGCACGATGCACACAGGAAACAATGGATGTGCCAGGTCTGCTTCAGGGCGTTGATCACTTCCTGCAAGGAAACCACAGACAATTACTAGTCCAGCAAGTCAAGCTCATCATTACAGAGCCTTATCAGTGACAAAGCTGCAAGCGTGTGTGTGTGTGTGTGTGTGTTTCCGTGTACGTGTGTGTGAATATCCAACCATCTACCCTGCCCTCTGATTGAACTCTCCCTCTCCAGCACCTCTACTGATCTACAGGAAGGCCAGGCTGACGGGTGCTAAATGCCAGGCTGCCGGGTGCTAATTGCCAGGCTACCGGGTGCTAATTGCCAGGCTACCGGGTGCTAATTGCAAGGCTGCCGGGGAGGTTAATTGTCAAGATGCCGGGTGCTAATTGTCAAGATGCCGGGTGCTAATTGTCATGATGCCGGGTGCTAATTATCAAGATGCCGGGTGCTGATAGCCAGGCTGCCGGGGGCTGATGGCCAGACTGCCGGGTGCTGATAGCCAGACTGCCGGGTGCTAATTATCAAGATGCCGGGTGCTGATGGCCAGGCTGCCGGGGGCTGATGGCCAGACTGCCGGGTGCTAATGGCCAGACTGCCGGGTGCTGATGGCCAGACTGCCGGGTGCTAATGGCCAGACTGCCGGGTGCTAATTGTGACACATCTGATCGTAGAGCTTTTCTCCAGCTCCCTTTCTTCTGCGGAGCGCATGACAGAGCTTAACACACACACTGATTTCCCACCATTCAGCTGTGAGAACTGGGGAGGTCATTGGGGGATAGACTAATGCTGGAATGAAGGAGGGATTAAGAACGAAGGAGTGAGAAAATTGTTAGCCAGTTAGAAAGGGTGAGAAATAAAAGGGTGGACAAGTTTGAAGAATAAAGGGTTGAGAGAAAAAATGAGGCCTCTGAGGCCTAGTCGTGAATTGTCACTCCATGTTTCCTCAAAGCCGCTCTGTCCTTTTCACGTCAGAGTTTCCATCCAGTCAAACACAGGGTGACAGAATGATTGACAGCCCATGGTAAAGACCCAGAGTTTTTCCTGGTCAGGTGACGCGGTCAGGAAAGACTGTGAAGCTAACTGAAGCTGGTTAGAGGTAGAAAACCCTGAGTAGATCTAGCTCGCTTCGTAGGATGCCCTCTCAGGACTTACCCCCAGGATCTTCAGCTGGCAGCGGCTACAGGTAGGTGCAAAGAAGTCCTCGTAGCAGTGTTCACAGTAGACGGAGCCCTGCTCCTCCACGAAGCCAATGTCTGCCAGGGATGTCCGGCAGTGGGCGCAGTTAAACTCCTCGGGATGCCAGGACTTTCCCATGGCCACCAGGAATGGGCCTCTGGAGGGAGAAAACAGCTTTCATTCAGATTAAAGGAGCATGATTTTATACCTCATATGCATTATATTCAGCACCATACCAGTGTCTAGATATGTGAAAGCGGTGAATTTCGTCATTTTGGAGTAAAAAATATAAGAAAAGGTCCTAAGCAAATTTCTCCCAGTGAAGTGTTCCTTTAAGATGAAATAAGTTCAATTAAATACAATCTAACTTTCCTATTAGCATCTGAAGCAGCGTTTTCTACCATACTCCCAGTTGAACCCTAACCATAATTTTTCTAGAACCATCACTGTTTTCACAGCAGTACATTTAGCTAGTGTCACCAAAGCCTATCACGCCTGCAAATAGGATGATTAGCTTAAGTGGGGAAAACAACAGTGGGATATTTAATGCACACAATGGTCATTCTAAACTGTGCCGTCACCGACACTCTTTGGCAGGAGCTGGATCTGCTACCCTATCCCCGGGGTTCAGTGTAAGCCAACACCAGAGGAGATAGTCTTAGCTACCGGCCAATAACAGGCTGCTGAGAGCCATGAACTGTAATTAAGGTGAGGAGAGAACCAGTCTCTGAATCCCCAATGGCACTCTATTCCCTGTGTAGTGCACTACTTTGACCAAAGCTCTATGATTTTCCCTATGGGTCATGGTCGAAAGTAGTGCATGACATAGGGAATAGGGTGCCATTTGGGACGCAAGCAGTGTGTTCTCCTCCTCCACCACGGACTCTCGTGTTCTATTCAACAGTCCTAACTCTGGGCAAATTAAAGAATGAACCAGACACCATCATCGGAGGGAGGGAGAGATAGAGAGGGAGGGGAGAGAGAGAGAGCGCGCGGAACGAGAGAGAGAGCAAGGAGAGAGAGAGAGCGAGGAGCGAGAGAGCGAGGAGAGAGAGAGCGAGAGAGAGAGAGAGAGAGAGAGCGAGAGAGAGAGAGAGAGAGCGAGGAGAGAGAGCGAGGAGAGAGAGAGCGAGGAGAGAGAGAGCGAGGAGCGAGAGAGAGAGAGAGAGAGAGAGCGAGAGAGGGAGAGAGAGAGAGCGAGAGAGGGAGAGAGAGAGAGCGAGGAGAGAGAGAGCGAGAGCGAGAGTGAGGAGAGAGAGAGCGAGGAGCGAGAGAGAGAGAGAGAGAGAGAGAGAGGAAGAGAGGGAGAGAGAGAGGAAGAGAGGGATATAGAGAGAGAGAGAGAGAGAGAGGGAGAGAGAGAGAGGGAGAGAGAGGGGAGAGAGATAGGGGGGGAGAGAGAGAGGGGAGAGAGATAGGGGGTGGGGGTGGGGGTAGGAAGGGAGCGCCAGCCCATATGCCTTATCTTAATCATGGACTGTGTCACATCCCATCCAGCCTCCTCACCGCTGATTGAAAAGGCTTGGACAACACTTTCCCTTTCACTTTTGCCAATAAGGTGTGTGCTGTGCACCATTTTCATTCATATTTTGGAATGATATGTGATTATATTATGTTTTGTTGAATATTGTAATTCTATTGAAATGGCTGTAGAGCATGGCGCTTGCAATGCCAGGGTTGTGGGTTCGTTTCCCACCGGGGGCCAGTATGAAAATGTATGCACTCACTAACTGTAAATCGCTCTGGATAAGAGCGTCTGCTAAATGACTAAAATGTAAAATGTAAAAGACATTTCCCTCAGGGTCCAACTCTGTACTGTTCTGTATGGTCCCATACAAACACGCTAGAGCTTGGATAAAACAAAATATTATCAATACCGACCGAACCGATAATATATCGAGGGCATTCTAATGATATCAATAATAATGATAATTAGCCTTTACTAGATGAATGTTATGTTCGAAATGAAAGATGTCTGCTAATATGGGCTATTGCTAATGGTCCAACTGATAGCTACAACATTCAAACAAGTAGTAGTCGTTTTAAGATTAGTATAAATAAGTAACTGGTCAATTGTGATACAGACTTTTGTCCATATGCAAAAAGAGAAATGCAGAGTGTTAGCGGCAGAGAAAAGGAGAAGATAAAGGAGAATGAAGAGGAGGAGAGAAGAGAGCGCAGAGGAGAGATATGAGAGGGGGAGAGAGAAGAGAGAGGAGGAGAGTCTAAGAAGGAGAGAGAGAGATAGAGAGAGAGAGAGAGAGCTCGTAGAGAGAGAGAGAGAGAGAGAGAGAGAGAGAGAGAGAGAGAGGAGAGGGGAGAGAGAGAGAGAGAGGAGAGAGAGGAGAAGAGAGAGAGAGAGAGAGAGATGAGAGAGAGAGAGAGAGAGAGAGGGGAAGAGGAGAGAGGGGAGAGAGAGAGAGAGAGAGAGGAGAGAGGAGAGGAGAGAGAGAGAGAGAGGTAGAGAGAATAGAGAGAGAAGAAGAGAGAGAGAGCTCTCTCTCTCTCTCTCTCCTCTCTCTCTCTCTCTCTCTCTCTCTCTCTCTCTCTCTCTCTCTCTCTCTTCTCTCTCTCTCACCTGATGTCCATGTTGCAGTGGCCACACATGGGCGTGCGTGTCCCTGCCGGGATGTGTTCGGCCATCTGCACCAGAGTATCCTCGTCTTTGGGATGGGGCTGGGGGGCCGGCCTCTCTGGGGCAGGGCCCTTAGGGAGAACACTGGTGGTGACGTTCCCTCTCATTCCAAAAGACGGGGTGATGAAACATGTCTGAAGGCCAGGTTTAGGGAAACCTGAACCTACAGGATGACAAGCGGGTGGTAAGTTCACACACTCATTCATTTCAACACAAACTACACAGAGTTCAGACACAGCTCAGACAGAGTTCAGACATGTTGAATGATGAATCATGAACATAAACATGTTGGGGGACTTGGGGGAGGAAGTGTGTGTGTGTGTGTGTGTGTGTATGTTTAAGTGCGTGTGAGTGTGTGTGTGTGTGTGTGTGTGTGTTTGTGTGTGGATGAGTTTGTGAACGTGCATGCATCCCTGCACTGCATGCTTGTGCAATTCTAGGTCTTTGTGTTCCAGGTGTCTTTTTGTTTTGTGTTATTCTCTGAGTTGACCTCTGTGACCAAGAGACCTGGTCTAGGCAGCTGGCCGGATCCAGGAGATCAACCAACAGCACCAGTGAGCAAAACACAGAATCAATTATTTCAAGCAGCAAGACATTCCAACAGCTCGCTGGAACACCTGGCTAAACAAGCTCCCCTTTGATCCCACTTTGAGGCTCCAGAAAAGAAACAGTGTTGCAAATGCAGCTGGGATTGGAGGTCGATCGAAAGTGGTTACATTTCTCAGAGTAAAGTCAGACCTTGCAGACATCGCAACAGGCAGACTCATCAGGGGTATTGAAATAAACGCCACAGCAGCAATCGATCAAAGTCATAGGCCATGCGTACAATTCGGACAACAGTGACCTTCTTTGTCATGTCAAAACATATTAGTGAAAGAGAGCGACTGTAGGTCAGTAGACATTCAGGACTAGACAACTCTAGTGCACAGTGCATGCTGGATCACTGTGTGAACTAGGCCTTTGTTGGCACAGGTCCGAAGCAGCATAGTGTCCATGTAAAACCTGGTGGGAATGAGGTTGAGGCTGAGGCTGGGGCTGAGTCTGGGGTTGAGGCTAGGGCTGGGGCTGAGGCTGGGGTTGATGCTGGGGCTGGGGCTGAGGCTGGGGTTGATGCTGGGGCTGAGACTGGGGCTGAGGCTGAGGCTTGGGCTAGGAGGCTGAGGCTATAGTTGAGGCTAGATTTGGGTCTGGGGCAAGAGTTGGTGCTGGTGCTAGAGTTGTCCTGGGGCTAGATTTGGGCTGGGGCTAGAGTTGTCCTGGTGCTAGAGTTGTCCTGGGGCTAGATTTGGGCTGGGGCTAGAGTTGTCCTGGGGCTAGAGTTGAGGCTGGGGCTAGAGTTGGGTCTGGGGCTAGAGTTGTCCTGGGGCTAGAGTTGGGTCTGGGGCTAGAGTTGAGGCTGGGGCTAGAGTTGTGGTCTAAGTGGCGCAGTGGTCTAAGGCACTGCATCGCAGTGCTATCTGTGCCACTAGAGATTCTGGTTCGTATCCAGGCTCTGTCGCAGCCGGCCGCGACCGGGAGACTCATGGGCGGCGCACAATTGGCCCAGCGTCGTCCAGGGTAGGGGAGGGAATGGCCGGCAGGGATGTAGCTCAGTTGATAGAGCATGGCGTTTGCAACGCCAGGGTTGTGGGTTCGATTCCCACGGGGGGCCAGTATGAAAAAAAATATATATGTATTCACTAACTGTAAGTCGCTCTGGATAAGAGCGTCTGCTAAATGACTAAAATGTACATGTAAATGTAGAGTTGGGTCTGGGGCTAGAGTTGTCCTGGGGCTAGAGTTGGGGATGGGGCTAGAGTTGTCCTGGGGCTAGAGTTTTGGATGGGGCTAGAGTTGTCCTGGGGCTAGAGTTGGGGATGGGGCTAGAGTTGGGTCTGGGGCTAGAGTTGGGTGTGGGGCTAGAGTTGGGTCTGGGGCTAGAGTTGGGGATGGGGCTAGAGTTGGGTCTGGGGCTAGAGTTGTCCTGGGGCTAGAGTTGTCCTGGGGCTAGAGTTGTCCTGGGGCTAGAGTTGTGCTGGGGCTAGAGTTGTCCTGGGGCTAGAGTTGGGGCTGGGGCTATAGTTGTCCTGGGGCTAGAGTTGTCCTGGGGCTAGAGTTGAGGCTGGGGCTAGAGTTGGGTCTGGGGCTAGAGTTGTCCTGGGGCTAGAGTTGAGGCTGGGGCTAGAGTTGGGTCTGGGGCTAGAGTTGGGGCTGGGGCTAGAGTTGGGTCTGGGGCTAGAGTTGTCCTGGGGCTAGAGTTGGGCTGGGGCTAGAGTTGGGGATGGGGCTAGAGTTGGGGATGGGGCTAGAGTTGTCCTGGGGCTAGAGTTGTCCTGGGGCTAGAATTGAGGCTGGGGCTAGAGTTGGGTCTGGGGCTTGGGCTCTGAACCTTTATTCACAGCTCCCTCAGTAACTATGACTTTATCTTATGGAGCGGAGGGTATACATCTGCAACGGAGGAGGAAAGGCAAAGCAGGCCTGCAAGCCTGACTTTAATGGGATTCGTGGAAACATATGTCACGCTTAGCCCGTGGAAAATAACCCTCTTACCTCACTAACAGACCGCAGCAGCATTCACTTCAGCCCCAGTAAATCACCATTTTATACTACTCTAAGATTTCAAACCAAACATTTCTGTAAAAGGACAAATCCCTTTAACAACGGAAAACTATATGAGTCAATCAAAATATCTAACACACTAGATTTAATTCAATTTATGTCCTAATCATGAGTTTATTTTTCAACTCTATTTTCGGTTTAATGTGCATGCCATTGCTTCCACTATGAAAAGAGCTTCATGCACCTTGCTCTTATTAGCTTCTTCATTCAATGAAAACAAATATATACATTCGTACATACAGGCATACCACTGTTGGAAGAGGCTGCTTTACTCTATATATTACATACATATGTTGCGGTAAATGTGTAAAAACAGTAATTCTATACATTTCTCAAGAAAAAATCAATAATAATCTATAGATCCACAGCACTGGGGGCTGCTGAGGGGAGGACGGCTCATAATAATGGCTGGAATGGAGTGAATGGAATCAAACACATTGAAACCATGGAAACTACGTGTTTGATGTTGTTAATACCTTTCCGTTACCACGTGCCCATCCTTCCCAATTGAGGTGCCACCAACCTCCTGTGAGCCACAGGTCTTACACATTTACCATAACATATACACTGAGTATAACAAACATTAGGAACACCTTCTCTTTTATTGATTTGTACCCCCTTTCGCCTTCAGAACAGCCTCAATTCGTCAGGGCATGGACTCTATAAGGTGTTGAAAGCGTTCCACAGGGATGCTGGCCCATTCTGACTCCAATGCTTCCCACAGTTGTGTCAAATTGGCTGGATGTCCTTTGGGTGGTGGACCATTCTTGATACACACTGGAAACTGTTGAGCGTGAAAAACCCAGCAGCGTTGCAGTTCTTGACACACTCAAACCGGTGCACCTGGCACCTACTACCATACCCCGTTCAAAGGCACTTAAATATTTTGTCTTTCCCATTCACCCTCTGAATGGCACACATACACAATCCATGTCTCAATTGCCTCAAGGCTTAAAAATCCATCTTTAACCTGTCTCCTCCCCTTCATCTACACTGATTAAAGCAGATTTAACAAGTGACATAAATAAGGGATCATAGCTTTCCTCTGGATTCACCTGGTCAGTCTATGTCATGGAAAGAGCAGGTGTTCCTAACGCTTTGTACACTCAGTGTATGCGTATTTCACACTTATGTTGAGGTAAATATCTGAGTATAAGGCTTGTATGGATGTCAACCCCAATACATGTTCATGTCATCGTCACCAATCAACTGCATTGTAGTTTAAAACAACTTTGACTACCAACACCGATTTCTGTATGCTAGCTATGCTATCAGCTTATACTAACGGGAGTTAGCATTTAGCATTCACTTCTTCTAAACCTGAAAAAGGGACAACTTCTAAATGTTATGCAGCAAAAAACTGCAAATATATCAAAATCTGACTTTAGTAACCACATTGTGGGTCTGTTACAATACATCAATCATGACGGATTTGACGAATATCCAATGTGTTAGATCAGACATGTTGAATGTGAGCCAATCCGGCGTCTTTCTTCTGTCCCACATGGTCTGCATTCCATGAACCTCTTCACCACATCTATAGGTACAGCAGAATTATACCATGTATTTTTGAGGTGAAATGGAGTACTGTAGGTACAGTGGTGCTGATATCAGGTGGGCATGTGAGGAATTACTCTAAACGGTGTACTCTCCATAGTAACTTACACTACATAACCAAAAGTATGTGCACACCTGCTCGTCGAACATCTCATTAAAAAATCATGGGCATTAATATGGAGTTGGTCCCCCCTTTTGCTGCAATAACAGCCTCCACTCTTCTGGGAAGGCTTTCCACTAAAATTGCTGTGGGGACTTGCTTCCATTCAGCCACAAGAGCATTAGTGAGGTCGGGCACTGATGTTGGGCGTTTAGGCCTGGCTCGTAGTCGGCATTCCAATTCATCCCAAAGGTGTTCGATGAGGTTGAAGTCAGGGCTCTGTGCAGGCCAGTCAAGTTCTGCCACATCGATCTCGACAAACCATTTATATATGGACCTCACTTTGTGCACGGGGCAATGTCATGCTGAAACAGGAAAGGGCCTTCCCCAAACTGTTGCCACAAAGTTGGAAGCACAGAATCGTCTAGAATGTCATTGTATGATGTAGCATTATTTATCCTCCACCAAACTTTACAGTTGGCACTATGCATTGGGGCAGGTAGCATTCTCCTGGCATTCGCAAAAACCCAGATTCGTCCGTTGGATTGCCAAATGGTGAAGCGTGATTCATCACTCCAGAGAGCGCATTTCCACTGCTCCAGAGTCCAATGGTGGTGAGCTTTACACCCCTCCAGCCGACGCTTGGCATTGCGCATGGTGATCTTAGGCTTTTGTGCAGCTGCTCGGCCAAGGAAACCCTTTTCATGAAGCTCCCGACGAACAGTTATTGAGCTGACGTTCCTTCCAGAGGCAGTTTGGAACTCGTAGTGAGTGTTGCAACCGAGGACAGACGATTTTTACGCGCTACGTGTTTCAGCACTCGGCGGTCCCATTCTGTGAGCTTGTGTGGCCTACCACTTCGTGGCTGAGCCGTTGTTGCTCCTAGACGTTTCCACTTCACAATAACAACACTTACAGTTGACCGGGGAAGCTCTAGCAGGGCAGAAATGGGATGAACTGACTTGTTGGAAAGGTATTTTGGTATTTTGGTATTTTATTAGAATCCCCATTAGCTGTTGCAAAAGCAGCAGCTACTCTTCCTGGGGTCCAGACAAAACATGAAACATGACATAATATAGAACATTAATAGACAAGAACAGCTCAAGGACAGAACTACATACAGAACTACATACATGTTTTAAAAGGCACACGTAGCCTACATATCAATACATACACATAAACTATCTAGGTCAAATAGGGGCGAGGCGTTGTGCCATGAGGTGTTGCTTTATTTGTTTTTTGAAACCAGGTTTGCTGTTTATTTGAACAATATGAGATGGAACGGAGTTCCATGCAATAATGGCTCTATCTAATACTGTACACTTTCTTGAATTTGTTCTGTATTTGGGGACTGTGAAAAGACCCCTGGTGGCATGTCTGGTGGGGTAAGTGTGTGTGTCAGAGCTGTGTGTAAGTTGACTATGCAAACAATTTGAGATTTTCAACACATTAATGTTTCTTATAAAAATAAGAAGTGATGCAGTCAGTCTCTCCTCAACTCTTAGCCAAGAGAGACTGGCATGAATAGTATTTATATCAGCCCTCTGATTACAATGAAGAGCAAGACGTGACACTCTGTTTTGGGCCAGCTGCAGCTTAACTAGGTATTTCCTTGCAGCACTGGACCACACGACTGGACAATAATCAAGATTAGACAAAACTATAGCCTGCAGAACTTGCTTTTTGGAGTGTGGTGTCAAAAAAACAGAGCATCTCTTTATTACGGACAGACCTCTCCCCATCTTTACAACCATTTAATCTATATGTTTTGACCATGATAGTTTACAATCTAAGGTAACGCCAAGTCATTTAGTCTCCTCAACTTGTTCAACAGCCACACCATTCATTACCAGATTCAGCTGAGGTCTAGAACTTAGGGAACGATTTGTACCA